TCCAGGCACTAAGACTAATGGAGTCTCTAGACTTGAATTAATAATTAATAACTTGGTTAATAATTTTCAACAGGCTACTGGGCACTTTCAGAAAAACAAAGCAAAACACTGTCTCATTTAATACGGGAATATGGGGAAAAGAAAGGGAAGGAAGTCGAGGTTACAGTGTTGGAGCAAGTTAATAGTTGACATGTGTTTAAAGACAGTCAGTTATGTAATTCTCACCCCAGCCTGGCAATATTCCTCACAATTATTTGCATTTGACTACTGCAAAAACTTAGGGCTATATTATTTAGTGAAAAGTGCATGAGTTTTAGAATTGCATACATAAAAATGGATTCAGGTCTTAACTCTGTGAGCAATAGCAAGTTATTATTGGAGATTCAGTTTCTGTAAAATGGAGATTGTAAAATCAACCTTCCCTGTGTTTTGGTGAGAACTAAACAGGATAATATAGATGAAGCGCTCTTTCGGTGTTTGACATAGTAGGTGCTTGATAAATGTGAGCTATTTTATGCCTTTTTACCCTCCATTGCACTTAGCACTATCAAAAGTGTTTACTGAAAAAATAAAAAGGCATTGTAACTGGAACTGAATCAGTTTCAAAACTGAAATCTATGATATTCTCCAAGTCCTGACCCAGCTTCTTTAGCCACAAAAGCAAAGGATCTTAAACAAAGAGGAGAAATCTTCTCTTTCTGATGAATGAATTTTTTCAGAATCTAAATATTTCTTGCCAAGCATTCAACTTTGCTATCTTGCTACAATAGAAGTGAGAGTGAGAGTTGAATCCTGTGGTAAAGGAAAAAAAAAAAAAAAGATTGCTCCTCATGGCTGTGAGCCATTGAAGCTAACAGTCACAAATAAAACTACTGGATGTTTCAAGATTCCAATTTTTGACACCCTTTCTTAAAATCTCTTGACTTCATACCAAGTGTTATACTTAAATGGCACTTTCAAATGCATAAAAGTGGACAGAGCAGTGACTTTTACTTTGAGGTTGGCTCAGAAAAAGGAACATAAAGACTTATGGGTTTAGGTGTGCTGTGAGCCTCAGTAAAATGCTATCCTTTCACCAATAAATTTTTATTCCATGGTGCTCAGATTAATGGCTCCTGGTCTTTCAGAGTTGTCTGCCTTCCTGAGGAACATCAACGACGCATGAATCAAGTCACCTCTGTTCTGCCAAGATAACAAAGTTAGACTCTAGCAAGGGACTAGAAATCCCTTTGATGAGCCAATTGTCTCATCAAAAACAGAGGTCTTTGTCGTAATTTAACTTTTGATGTAAAACAGCTTCACAATTTTACTGAGAATGCTGACATCTGCAGAGAAACAGATGAAGATGGCATTTCTAGTCTCTCAGAGAACCACAGCATGAACTTTACTCCCGTTTTGAGCCATAAACGTTTAGGAAAGGACTATAAAGGATACAAGAGGCCATTACATGTGTCACCGTCTTTTCAGGAAGAGTCACCAATAATCCGATCCAGACAACTCCATGTCTCTCTCTCTTCCGTCTGTCTCTCTCATTGCTTAAGAGATAAAGTGTTTCTAATCACAGTAGATTTGGGTCCTTGCAAATGATCTTCGGAAAGAATGGCTGGATTAGGAAGGTTAGTATTTCTAACCAGGAAAACCTGCATTAATCACAGATTTTCAAGCTTTGCCCAGAGCTCAGGGTTTGGTGTTGCAGAGGCCTTCAATGACTGATGTCCTGGGTGAGAAGGAGATGGAGGGCGTGGCTGTGAACCCCCAGCCAGATCTAATTTTATCTGTTTTGTATTTGGAGTTTCATTTTTCAAAAATGTTTCTCCTGCTTGAGAAGAAAAAGGTTGAAAATCATTTTATTAAATCATTTGTACACCTCACCCCATTAATTAATCTAGGCTTGTTATCACTGTATTTTACAATGTAATTAAACCTTTCAGACAAGTACTATGAGCTCATTTAAAATATGATAATATAATATTGACAGGAACTCCAAGAAGAGAAGCAGTTTTTTTCTTTTTCTCTCTGCATGTGCCTAGAAGATGTAATTTAAGGCATTTTAATGTCAGATAATAGTGCCTGACCAGCAGAACACTGTTTCTTAAAAGATATCTGTTTAATGATTTTTTGATAATGCGCATTTAGTCTTCAAAAGATATTATATTTGTGAAATAACTTTTCTAGGATCTGAGTTAACACAGAATACCTTTTATACACATGTAGTGGCCCATATTCGTTTACATTAATCATTCAACCTTGAAAAGAGTCATTGTTCCCTTTCATCACTTTATTTTGATTAAAGAACATTGTATGTCTCCATTTGTATCTTCAGCTCATGGTAAATTCAGTGTCATCTTCTAAAGTCTTAAGAGTGATAATTCCAAGTAAAAGTAAATTGATTTTCGTGGAAACACTTCTAAGACTTCTAGAGTTGTTTCAATGATTTTCTTATTATTTTAAAACTACATGTGAGACAATTTTGAAATACATGTACATATATATATATATAGCTTAGTTCAAGTTGCCTCTTGAAATGTTAGTTGTAATATCAATGCTTAAAAAAAATACTACGTATATTTTTAGCAGTGGCTTTTAGTATGTAAGGCTTTGTTTTCTTCTTAAGTTTTTGTTATTCTCTCCTCATGATAAATCTGTGAGGTCACCTGGAAGGGTCTGTTTCTAAGATTGTACCGGCTCCTTTTGCAGATTACCAACAACGTATTAGTAAATTCATTCCACTTTAGGGAATGATTCTGGTCATAAAATAGTGTTCTGCTTATTTCCTTGCTTTATTCTACATCAGATTTGCCAGGCATATAAAAGATCAAATTACTAAGTGCTAATTCTATTAGAGTTTTACACAGCTCATGTGTACAAATGTTCTATGTCTTATTAAAGGCAGCAAAAAAAAAAGAGAGAAGGATTTTAAGAATTTGGGTGTAAAGCAATTTTCTGCTTCATAAAATACAGTTAGTGTCACCTTATGTTAACAGAAACATTCTTGGATATGTGATTTTTCTCTTCAGATTTGCTTTTAATGAAACCGGCTTAGTATTTCAGAGCACACCCCTTTAAGCCAGATTAAAAAAAATATTTATAGCAAAAGCTATACAAACAAATGCAGAATGATATCTAGACCCAAATCTTCACGTTATTCTCTCAGCTCACAAGATCCATCAATTTGGTCTTCAAAATCTTTTTTAGTATTTATTTTTACACACTATGATGGTAGTTTGACCTTCATTTACTGCCCATTGTTTCCTTCGGTGACAATCATTAGAATTATCTGATTTATCCCAGTGTCGCTGTTACTTCAGTGACATAACCAGATAGTCAATGTTTGCTTCCAAGATAATTTATTCAGAATACACATTTTATTTTTTCCGTTAAATGTATTTGTTGTATGTCTTCCATTGATCTGGAAAACTTTTCCTATAAAAGGGCAGATAGATAAATATTTCAGGCTTGTGGGGCCGTATGGTCTATCTCCCAGGAATTCCTTTATGGAGAATAGTGGAACTAATACAGGGATTCTACCTCTGCCTCAGGTCCTGAATATACAAATGCAGTTAGGATTCCCAAGGTGGTATTAGGGAAGATGACAGTGGAACTTAGGGGGCAACCGCTACACTTTTGAGAGGGGGAGGAGACAGAAAGAAATGGGGCATGGGGACAACAGGCCTACGCCCGCCTGTCCAGAGAAAACTGTGCATGTGGACTTGGGGAGCATAGCTGATGCTCACACTTCGCAGGCATCTCTATTTACAAATACTGTGTTCGACTACAGTCAGCCTTTCAGGTCAAGTTTTCTTATATATTTCTCTCCATTCATGTGCATGTTCTTGCTCACTTGGCTATTTGAGACTATCTAAGTTTAAGCTTGCATACTAAAATTTAAGTCTCTGAAGTATTTTATACCCATGCCTTTGAAATACGGCATCAAGGATCACCGTCTCTTTCATACACTGAGTGCATGAGTCTGAAGTGGTGCAGAGGTCTATTTATACTCCATCTTTGATAGATGAGTAGAAAACTTGACAGAGAAAAAAGCGATACAGGACTAATTCTCCTCTGAGAAATAAATTCTTTATACACCATTTTGCTGTATGCAATTTTAATGGATTACTCACAAATCTTTTTTTCCCCATTAGAACTCTATGTGCTATTTTTATTACTTTCTCCCAATTCCTGGTTTTTATTTATTTATTTTTCCCTGAGGACTCTGTCTTGCCAATTGTGCACTTTGCACAAATACAACCTCAATTATTGTTAAAGGAAACTTTGTATGTGTCTTTTACAACAAACAATTCAAATAAGTTTTGAAAGAGGTTAGTGTAAATTAGCTAATAAGACCCTTTTGGTAGGCAAAGGAAGGGCCTTTTCCCCTTTCCTGATGGATATCAGCTTTGGATTACTTAGCAAAGCTACCTGTGCTAACACTAGGCATGGAAGGCTTAAGAAGAAATTTCAACCCTAGCATTTCTTTTTTTCCTTCATCTCCCCAACCTTCCATCTTTAAAAAAACTTTTATTTTAAATCCTGGCTCCACCAGGATTTAAACTAGTTACTAGTTCTGTGACGTGGGCTAAGCTCCTCAACCTTCCTCATTTCTCATTTCCTTAATCTATGAAACAGGGAACTGAACACTTACCTCTGGATGGTCCTTTACAGATCAAGGATTGGATGAGATGAAAGAATTAAAAGACTTTAGTGGAAATGAAGGCTTTCGCGTGATGCCTGACATATAGTAAATACAGAATAAAACGTAGCTATTAGAATTGTTAAGCACCTCTGTATGTAAAGCATTCTCACCCTTAAAACAAACCCCTGTCCTTGCTTTCAAAGCTCATGTGATTCAGCAGCAGCAGTGGTAGAAAATCTGGGCAAAGATAAAATAAACCTGTGTGCTAACAAAGCGCAGGGAAGGGAGAAACGAATTCTGATCGGGGTACAGGTCAATACAGAGGTCTTATCTGGTGGTCAGAGATGTTATTTTAGGAATATAAAACCTGTGTATTTTTAGGACAGCCTATCATTAGAAATTGTTGCAGCCAAGGTCATGATTCATGGAGAATCATTCCCCCTTGACTGTGAATTGTCACTGAAGGAAACATTCTAGAGATGAGAGGCGGAAAAAAAGTGGCCCTCTAGGAAGGAGAAAAAAATGAGTCTCATTAATCCAGAATTGGCAAATCCCCTTCATCGTAGCACAGAAAAGGAAAATTTGAATGCTAATCTTGTTCAACCAATAAATCTTATTTTATCCTGAAACACCCTTCTTCGCTTTCCCTAATGATGGATAACAGCTTAGTCAGATTGCTATAATTATATAAAAAGATACATCTTTAGAGTAGCACTACCTAGATGTTCTTAGAACCAAAGCAATAGGGACGCCTGGGTGGCTCAGTCGGTTAAGTATCTGCCTTCGGCTCAGGTCATGATCTCATGGTCCTGGGAGCAAGTTCCCTATTGGGCTTCCTACTCTGTGGGGAGCCTGTTTATCCCTCTGCCTTGGTCTCTCGTGAATAAATAAATAAAATCTTAAAAAAAAAAACAAAGAAATAACAGGACTATTACACACATTGCTGAATTACTGTATTTCCTGCACTTTTCCACCAATGACAGAATTCCTATCATAGAATTTCCCTCAAAACTCTGGGTAGGAAGACTGTATCTCTGACTCAGGACTTGACAGTAAATAAACTCTTTAACATTTAGAAAATTTCATAAATATCTTAAGTAGCATGTTTATACCAAGAAATAGGACATAGTCATATTTCAACTTTTCTTGCGGGTAGATTTTAGCAGAAAGCAAAAAATCAGAAACTATCCTATCCAATAACATCCAATGTCAGTGACATTTTAATCATTTTCTTACATAAGTCTTTAAAGAGCTGGCTGGAGTACAAACATTGTATTTTGAACGTCTTTCTATATTTTCACATTAGATTCCCGGCAAAACAAATAATTAAACCATAAACTACTTATTAAAATTTTTCTTTTTTACCATAATGTCAGTCTTTTCAATATGAATATTAATCTGAGGCTCCCTGATACTCAACAGTCATGTCAATTGTTTTTTAACAGAAGTTAACTGTGAACTTTGTTTTTTGCTTTTAAGTTTTTATTTCCTTGTTCTTTATGGATATTTTTTTCATAATAATTTAGCACCTACTGTTTTTAAATTGAACAAAATCAGTCTCATTCTTGGACAATTAACTTTTAATTATTTCCAGGGGAACTCATTACTACATTAGTGCAAGCAAGCTAAGGAAATGGAATATGTAATTTAGCACTAAAATGCCCCATTTTTAGATACTCCATATATGTTTTTAGGTTGCATTTGTTGACGTTTAATTTTCCAAATTATAACCAGATAAAGTGCAGTCACCACAGCTGGTTAAAACATAAGTAAAACTTTAAAATCACTTGGTTAATCTTGAAAAAGCAGCTATAAACAGATGTGATACTAAATAATTCTACAGATTTTATTTCTAGCTTGCCAAATGGTGCTCAGATGGAACGCAAACATAGCATTCACTGACTAGAAAATCAAAGACAACTTAAAAGAATGCCTTGATATTTCAGGTGGGACTTGGTTATCAGGAGACTTGGCTCAAGCACCTGTTGCTTTTGAGTTTGGAAAAAAGGAAGCTGGTGCCTATTCTGTATTCACAACCATCTTCAGAGACTGGCAGATGGCCAGTGGCAAAAAGGAGACGAGGCCAAAATGCAAAATAGATGATTGATAGATAGATGAAAAGATAGACGAAAACATAGTTCAATACTTTTTTAAAAAAATAAATAGAATTACATGCGTTTTATATCCAAAAGGCTAATAAATCCAATGTCATCTCTCCAGAGGAAAGAAAGGCAGCCTATATATTCAGAATTGATAAGGGGCGCCTGGGTGGCTCAGTCAGTTAAGCGTCCGACTCTTGGTTCTGGCTCACGTTGTGATCTCTTGGGTCCTGATCCCATGGGTCGTGATCTCATGGGTCAGGAGATCAAGCCCCACATTGGGCTCCAGGCTCTGTGGGGAGTCTGCTTGATGACTCCCTCCCTCTGCCCCTCCCCCCGTGTGCACATGCATGGCTCTCTCTCTCTCCATCTCTCTTTCTCTCAAAATAAATAAATAAATCTTAAAAAAAAAAAGAATTGATAATTTTCTACTCCTGAAAGTTTAACTTCAGAATTTTCTGAAAGAGTATCCAAAATTTCCTAGTTATTTTATTTTAACACGTAAATGTATGAGTTAAAATAACTTTGTTTTACAAATATATATTTGTTTGTTGATTGATTGGTTCAGTATAGGTAATATGTACATGTGACAAAAATTCAAACTCTTCCAAAGGAAATATGATGAAATGGTAATAATCTCTCTTTATGCCAATTTCCAATTCATGGCAGTTTCCCCAAAGGTCAACCCTGTTACTAGTATCTTATGGATCTTTTCAAAATTATTCTCTATATCAGAGTATATTTCAAAATGCTTTCTGTAATGGATAAAATAACATCATAGCTTATTACACTGTTATAATTAATTCACACAAAAAGAATTAGTACACCTCTGTTAAAGCTAGCTAGGCTTGGAATGCTCAGAAGAAAAAATAGACTTTAATTTTGTATTCTTAAAAGAACAATTTTTTATGCTGTATTTCAGAACATGCTAATTAATTAACATGCTAAGATTGTTTATGTAAATTTGAAAGGATTATAAATTGCACTAAAATAAATTCAAATTCAATTTACCTCTTATGAACATTGCACATCTGAAAACAATTATCTTGGCTGTATGGAATTTCTAGAAGCACCTTAGTTCCTTTAGAACAGTGAATTTCTTCACTGTTTTAGTAGCAGTGATTTAATAAAAATTCAGAAATCAAAGATGTTCCAGTGATCTTAACTAGCTAACAGTGTTCCCAAATCTCATTTATTTATTGCATATACTGTACTTATCCAAAAACTTGCTTTCTTTTATCAACACCTATTTCATTAACTCCTAATGGATTTTAAAAACAGGGGCGCCTGGGTGGCTCAGTTGGTTAAGCAACTGCCTTCGGCTCAGGTCATGATCCTGGAGTCCCGGGATCGAGTCCCGCATCGGGC